TAAAACATTTAACCTTTATAGGACACTATAGCAAAAAATATCTATAATTTCTATTTCATATACTCTAATGTAATGTAATTTTTCACAGCAACGTTTTTGTATCTAAAGAATAGTTTCTGCTTCGATAAGTGATTGTGAATAGACATCAACTCTGTGTCTATCAGAACAACCCCCCATCAGATGATAAAAGCCGTAAGATGAAGAAGAAGTCTCAGATGAAGCGTAAATCCCAGCAGGAAGTAATCAAGGAGCGGGAAGATGAGTGCTTTAGCTGTGGAGATGGAGGACAAGTTGTGTCCTGTAAGAGGCCGGGCTGTCCTAAGGTTTACCACGCTGACTGCCTCAATCTCACAAAGAGACCTGCAGGTCAGTCCTGAAGTAGTCTCAAACACGGACCACTCACTGACCATAAACTCAGTAGTGATATAATAAATGAAGTTCATACATGATCGTGCGTTATGTGTTGTGAAATCATAGGACAGATTAAATTTAAGTTAATATTTTCTGTAAATGAAGACAAAATGATGCTCAACATTAATTAACAGATCACTGGAGGGGAAGATTATCAGTGAATAACTTGTTTTGCGTTTTTAGGCCGTTGGGAGTGTCCTTGGCATCAGTGTGACTTGTGTGGACAGGAAGCAGCTTCCTTCTGTGAGATGTGCCCTAGCTCCTATTGTGTCGAACATCGAGATGGCATGCTTTTTATATCCAAACTGGATGGCCGCTTGTCATGCAGCGAGCATGACCCCTGCGGCCCCGAGCCCCTGGAGCCTGGCGAGATCCGGGAATACCCCCCGGAACTCAAGACAACATACCCTATAAACTTCATCAGAGCTGCCAAAACCAAATCCACAACCCTAAACACTACAGCTGTCCCGCAGGCTTCCTCTCCCCCTGATGCAGCCCCTCAGGTGTCCTTTAGCCCCTCCAGAAGCCCTCCACCAATTGACATCTCTTTAAACTGTGCATATTCACCAATTTCTTCCTATGGAGAAGACGACGCAGAAGAGGAAGAAAGTTTGATACAATTAGAAGGGGATGGTGAGAAGAGCGTAACTCAAGATAATTCGGAACGATTGAGGATAAAGAAGAAAACCGAAGTATGAAGGTTTAATCTATGGAAGCAAACTGACCCGAGGTTTACATTTCCCAACAGACCTCTTTATAGCCATGCTCTGAGGCTATCTGATGTACATCAAATTTTCACTACAGCATACTTGAAGATGGTACACAAAACAGTTTGCATCCCTGTCAGTAATCCCTTTGATGAAGAGGACACAGATAGACGAAGATGACAATGTTTTTCGGAAAAATGGTTTCAAACACTGATTAAATAGAACCGACTTTATCAGATTGTAGCCAATGTTACGTTTTTTCTTGCTACATCTGGGAATATGAAATATGTTGAACATCGCAACAACGAAGAGAATGAAGAGACAGTATTTAGGGAAGGGAATATATTTTTCCTTGGAAATTCCATTGCCTTCTTCAAGTCAAATAATAATGACTATAAACTCATTTACCAAAACTGGATTTGTGCTGTATATTTCCTCTGTGAGCAAATGGTACAGAATATAAGCTTAGGGGAAATTTTACTATTGAGTAAGTGGTTCATATACACTTCCTCGTCAAAAAAAAAAAAGTTACAGAATACTGAAGAGCCTATGATTGGGTAATTATTGCTGTTTTTAATATGTTTCTGGCATGTTGTAGGTTTGGCAACAGTTCTTTAAACCCTAACTGATGCACTGCACAGCTTTTTATTTCTTAAACAACCAAGTCAAAAGACGTACACGTCCATGTTCCTGAATGACAATGTCAAGGTCCAAATTGTGAAAGATTGGCCACCACAGAGTCCTGTTTGTAAGTCAAGTCAAGTTTATTTGTACAGCGCTTTTCACGATACAAATCATTGCAAAGCAACTTTACAGCAAATTAAGTTTCTACAATATTTAGTGGTAGCTTATCAGTGGTGACTGTCAGTTAATGTACATATGGCAGAAATGTACGGAAAAATCAATTTAAGACGTAATAAAACACGATGAACACTAACAGCAATTATTATTGTAAGAATTTTTGCCAAACATATAACATGTCAGAAACATATTAATCACTGAAATAATAATTCAATCCTAAAATCTTAAGTATTTGCTTATTTAAATCCAGACAGCGACTTTTTTTGGCCAGGCAATTTACTAAAGCCCAAAGTATACTTTGGTTTTTACGCAAAGACTATATGCATACAGTGCATATCACGTAATTTCATCATCTGCACAGTACGCATGCACTGTACATGTGCAGACCAGTTTTTGTAACTTGCACATTACTAATTATTTGGTGGCAACATTGGGCTAAACCATTGTTTCAAAAAAGAAGCATAGGACACTTCAGGGGGTTAAAGATACACACAACCCTAATTTAAAATAATACAAAGAGGTTTTATCGTTTCTAGAGAGAAATAGTACAGACGTTAGACAAAAATGAAAAATTCTAGTGCACGTGTTCATTTTGAAAGGCTGTGGCTGTACGCTAAGCATTTGCGTCAAAACTTAAGTTTGCTTCGGGTTTAAGAGTGCAGTAGATTGTGATCGTAATTAATAAGATTCAAATATCCTAGCCAACTGTTTAAATAACTTGAAGACTATCATTTTGAAGCACTTTTGTATAATAATCCAAAATTTGCCTGCTAATATGTTAAGACAAAAGCAGAATATTTACAAGTATGCTCATAATTTATTTGAGATAATTTAGGAAATTCCCAGAATTGTCTCTTTGAATTAATCTTTGCCAAACTGGCACAAAATCCAGAAGAACTTTATGCAGTCTACAAAGGAAGTGTTCTGATTGATCATATCCACTGAAGAGACAGATATTCCCAAAATTCTTTGGTGTAAATTATGCTGTGAATTTAAAGGTGAACTGTGTGGTTTTTTAAAACAGTTGTGGCATCCAGCAGTTACAAAACAAAAAAAAAAACAGGAAATCCTGTCCCAACTTGCACTAGTCATTGAGAAAGTGCAACTATGTACAAGGTCTCTTAACTGAACTTGTCAGATGAGTCTGTTCTATCTTGCTGTATATATTTTTTATACATTAAATCTATATGGAAGAAGATGACAGGCTTTGGAAGCCTGATAATTAAACACTCCCAGTCAAGTCTTTGGCATTTAGTGAATTCATGTTCAATTTTCCATAAAGGCTGATATCTTAAAAAATGTTCAACATACAATTTGAACTGTAACCATATAGTGTAAAACACTAATTGGCAACTAAAGCCCTAAAAGTCTTATGTGAAGCTAAATGTATAGGACAAATGATTGTGGTTTGTTGCATGTCTACACTCCAGAAATTTCTCTGCTGGTTTTCCTCACCCCCATCTAACTGATCAAGTGTTCTTCATAATGAACAGCATTTAAATTTTTTTTTTTAACTGTATTTATGTATATAATTGCACGTCATAGTTTTAACGCTGTTCTAAAAGTCATTCCACTTCAGTATATTTCAGACAAATTTCTGGCAAAGGGGGAAAAAAATCTGTTGCCTTGTTCGAGACTTTAATTGTGCTGTAGTGCTTTGTACAGAATAAAGAACAGTGCACACTTGTTGCTTCTTTGCTGCTGTTTTTACCACCTCTGTAAATAGTGCGATCAAAATGGTACTTTTCAAATAGATTTATTGCATTAATGAAATGTGAGTAGAACTGTTGCACTGTAAATCTCACAAAAACTGTCAACACATGTTTGGGTGATATTTCACCCCAAAATAAAAGCAAATTATATTTTGTACAAAGAAAATGAAGTCTATTTTCAGGATAATTCAAGTGTTTTGAATTGCAACATTAATTGCATGACAATTAGGCACATTTCCACATGCAATTGTCTTGTCATTACTGTAACACAAAACAATTATATTTATATCGTAAACTGTAAGTATACATAATGGTAGTATTAATTGTATATATGCTGACAATAAAAGCTTAAATAATAATAATATTCGTTGTTGTATCCAGACAGGATCATTTTATTTCTGCATTACAGTAATTTTATGGAGAATTTGGGGCAATTGTCATGAAATTAATGCAATAATCTTGCAACTAATTTTATTTTCTTTGTGCAAAAGATCCTGAAAGTGCAGTTTCTAATTTGATTCCATTTCAGATCATTTCATTCAACAATTTGACTTTAATTTCTATGCAATCTAGGCTAAAGATTTTATTAATGTTTTCATTATATTTATTTTTGTTCAAGATAAATTCAAAATATTCATAATCAATTAATTCTAGTCCTCTGATGTAGTACACTAAATGGTAATATTATTTTGGTGAGAGTGTACCTTACTCTTAAAAAAGAAAAAAAAAAGAAAAGAAACACTAACTTTGATATGTGAGGGCAAGCAAGAATAGGCAGCAAAGGATGAATATGACATGCAGAAAAAAAATCCACGAATTTAGGTTATTACTCAAGCATGCTGCACACACGCTTGATATTTCATTTCAGTCTTAAATGACTTGGTCTGCTTTGCTTATACTATTTTGATACCTTTAAACAAAATACGCAACAGCTGTTTAAGATCACATCCTTATGTTTTTTTTTTTAAATGTAATTTCACAGTAAAATGTAACAAAGTAATATAATATTGTCTTTCTTTCCTGTAGGACAACCAGCGAAAATGGCACAATATCAGGATCTCTCTGGAATGACACAAAGTTTCACAAGAAGCATATTTTTAGCTACAGGCCTTGTTGAGCAGTATTTAATACAGGCACAATATGAACCGAGAGTGAACTAAGTCTGTATGTACAAAGTATGCACAAACATTTTCACAACTGACAAGTTAGTGTCCCAGTTTACAATACCTTACCCAAATTGCATTGAAGTAAAATTAAATAATAATAAAAATAACACTGTAAACATTAGCATCACATTCATCAAATGCTGCAAATAATGGACAACAGGATACAGGAAGCTATGGGCTCCATTATCAAACACGAGTTGAGTTTTTTGTTGTTGTTGCGGAGTTGATACTCCCGCATATCAGATTAATCATGATATTATAAATGCCTCAAGTAACTATGGTTATTAGCCTTTGACATTTTGACATCAATTGTTCAGCTTCATTACAATTTAAGAACATATTAATTGGAAACTGCCTTTTACTTTTACTATGTAATTTTCCATTCTATCAACATCTAAATCTTTATCATTATGAGAAAAATGTTTGAACTGGTCTCAGATCTGTGAAAACTGAAACTTTAGTGTGGACATATGAAACTAAATTGTTCATACATGAGTGCAGTGTGATAAATGAAGGGTGTAAACATTACGATCCTCAAAAGATCTATAAAATGGAGACACTTTAAATCATAAAAGGTGATAAATCACTCAAGGCATTGTTTGTGAAAATTGGCAACGATCACCTCCATGCAATGAAATCTGTCCCTAAAGCTTGCTTTGCGTCTTGTCTTTTTGGTAAAACGGATTGCCACGCACTGTTAATATTAGTTTCAGTCAACATTCTCAGGTCCCCAAAAAAAAAAAACATGTTCCTGATAAAGAAAAAGAGTTCATTGCTTGAACACTGGAAAAAGTGGAATCCTTCATGTTCTACTGCACACCAGAAAAGAAAAATCATAAAAGAAATAAGGAAAGAGCAAAAAAAAAAACTCTAGCTGATGCTTTGAAGAGTATAAAAGATGGTGAGCCTCCAGTCATCCCAAAATAGACCATATGATACAGCAGTTTTTCCTGTGATAGGTCAGTTATGGCAGCAGTTGTCAAAATAAGAGTCCTTCTTTTGCCCAAGATCCACCCCCTTCTCTTCTGTGAGGATACAATACCAAAATAAATAAAGAAATAAATCCAAATAGGAACAATATCACATTATTGTATGAATTCTATTTCTAATATTATTAAATGCATTCAGAATTTGATGCATCATCATCTTAATATTTCTATCCACTGTATTTTGCAACGCAGAAGTAAGCTATTGTCTTTGAATGTGTGAGACTTCGGATACATTAGCAGCTATAGGGAAATAACAAGAAGAATAAAGTGCAGCGAACAGTAGAACTATTTGCGCTGCAAACCAGTGGGTTTATGAGTAAAACAATATATTAAAATAACACGACAACAAATACCAGTTTACATTATAAATCAGCATAACATAATTGTGATACAACTAAAATAACTGACAGCAGATGACACCAGAAGCCTTGCCCATTCACGTTACAATTGGCTGAATATGCCCTTACATTAAAAATAAGGTGGACAATAAACAAAATAAGATTTAGAAATGAATAAATACTCTGTACCATTATTGATCAAAGCAAAAAGAGCAGATACTATGATTTCCTATTAATACTGTAAAAAAAATACACATGAACATGTGTGCATCTGTTTTTGGACAGAAATCGGTTATGAAATAACTATTAAGCCCCGTTCACACTACAAGCGACACGATTCCATTCATTTCAATGGAGAGCTGGCGATTTCCGGCGACAAGCGCGACAGCGGCCGTTGGCGACGGATGGGGCGTGTCCAGCGACGTGACAAAGTTCAGAATCCTCCAACTTTATGCAAATGAAAAGCGACTTTCGGGAGCGACAGCCAATAGGAAAGAAGACGGCAGAGCTCATGTGATCGTTCTCCACTCAGTCGTAGATAAACATACGCAATGGAAAAAAAGTAGGCTCTGTTTCTTATTCATTTTTGTTTGTATGTACAGATTTAATTCATATTTGAATTATATTTAGTCTTTTGCCTCCAAAATGTTTGTATTTAGCGGCAAGAAACCTGATTCGCTGTCAAGGCAACCAGTAGTGAGAACGCCCACAAGCAACCTCATTGCCAAGACAAAGTCGCTGCTAGTGTGAACGCAGCTTAATGCCGAGTTCACACTGCACGATATTAGCCCGATTTTTCACTCGCCGACAGGTTTTGTGAAATCGCTTAAGCCTGCATAGTTTCGGTCAAGAAATTGGCTGTGGGCTGCTAATGCTAAAGGGTGCACCTTTGTTTCCTCACAAAGACGGTTCTTGCAAGCAGTTTGCTTCATCTATTGTCATTGTAATGACAAACATTTGTGCTTTTCATGCTTATGCGAAGCAACAAGTAACAGAGAGAGTGAGTGCTACATTTGTTAACAGGGCCTGAAAAGTCTTGTTCCTGAAACACACAGACCCAGGTGTAAAGTGTAAAATAAGTGTTTCACTTTGCAGCAAATTCTCACCTTGCATGAACTCTAAAGCACAGCTACTGAAATCTTCAGCCACTTTCTGAAACACCTCATCTGTATGAAAAAACAAATAAAGAATTGAAACTTCTCGGTATCTAATTGCGCGTTACACAAAAACAGTGCTCAATAGAGCAGATAAACTGAAGCATCACTTACCAACATTTTTTCCTGTTTTGCTGGAGGTCTCGAAATGTTGTGCACCTATTTCTGTAAATGTTAAAAGTTAATGTTGTTTTGTTGCAATGCTTTGTAGAAAACAAAAGCAGCTAAATTCACGCTTACCATCTGCAAAGTCTTGAACATCATGGTAGTCTACTTGCCGCACACTTCGATCGGCCTCAATGAGGTCACTCTTGGTGCCACACAAATATATCTTGCAGTGCTGAAAATAAAATAATGTGTCCATAAAGTTGTGCTGAAGTTGTTCTCATGTTTTTGTGAGACGTGGGTTTATTTTACCTCTTCACAGTTCTGTAACTCCTTCACCCAGAACCTGGCCCTTCCAAAACTGCTGCTGTCAGTCAAGTCTAAGTGTGATTGTGAAAAACAGACACAAATTTAGAATGAAAATTTGATGTCTTCAAACTTTTTCACTTGTGGAAGAGCTAATTTTCTTCAGATTTTTTCCATGTACACTACTGTTCAAAAGTTTGGAGTTTAAGAAATTAATACTTTATTAATGGTTTTATTATACTCAAACTGTTGAATGGTAGTGTTAAAAAAAAAACACATTTACAGTGTATAAGAAAAATATTAAGTATGATATTATAACAACAAAATTAAATAACTGTTTCCAGATTTTATTATTATTATTACATATCTAAGAAAAACTAAACGGATATATAAATTATAATAAAATAGCATTAAAATAACCAAATTAAATTCATTTTTAATTAATCAATCTTTGACATGTAGAATGAAATCGTAACATCATATGAATTAAAAAAAAAAAATAAAACAAAACAAAATAAAACATTGAGTTAAAAAAATGTTGTTTTTTTTTTGGTTTGGCCTCTTTAATTTTTACATGGACCCCAGAGGACCCCTGATTAACTTATTTTAATCAAACACATGAACTGCCTAGCAGGACTTGTAGCTACTGTGATTTATACACAGAGTGAGCAAGCATGAGCTATTTCCTTGCTCAGTGTCACCTGACTGCTAGACCGAGCTGGTACATGCTGCACTTTGGATTTCTTTACGAAAAAAAAAAAAACCACTTCCTGTCAAACTGCAACAGAGGGATATACCGTAGCAGACAATGGCAGCACGCGCTCCTCTGTAATAGATTCTGCTCATAGCTTCATAGCGTTCAGACCCAGCAGTGTCCTAAGATCAGAGGAAACACGTGAAGTCACTAATGAGTGGTTGATCAGCGTATATAAAGTCCCAAGTAACTACACTTACCCATATTCCCAGAGTAACCACCTTGTCACCGACGTTGAGGGCTTTCGCAACAAACGCAGCCCCTATAGTCTTAATGAGACAAAAACAATTCATTAAAAAACACATATACACACACACAAACACATATCAGGTCATCGTCAAAGAGCCATTGACATCTGTGGAAGGTGGCTTTACCTGTGGAGCTAGTTTATAGTATGTGGCGCATGATTAGAGATTGTTGATAGCCAGTCAAACTTACATCATACACAAAAATATCTTTAATGAGAACAAACAATCTCAGAAAATTGTCAATTAGCCTACTTCTAATGGACTAATTACTTCTAGAGGCTGCTATGCTAAGTAACACACACTTACATTTTGATATGGTCCCACAAGAAACCGGCCATGTACGTATCTTTCCACCAGACTGGTTTTACCCACACTCTCCTTGCCAAGCATGACCACCTTAGCATCCACTCGCATGGCAGTCATGATTATACGGGTTTGTAGAAAAAGACACTATAAATATAAGCATATAAATGTTTATATAAGGCATATTACAGCTAGATGGATATAGACAGTATCATCCAGGAAAACTGAAAGAAGTCTGATTAATTGTATTTAATGTGCACTGTTATTGCAAAACAGATAAATAAATAGAGCTGTACTTGCAGGTAATATATTAATCAAATAAAACGCCACTTAGGTGTGATTTAAGAGAATATACTTTCATGACTATGTCGTTCACTGACATACTAAAGCACATGTAAAGTACTCGAGTTACTTTAAAGTTAAACGTTTACCTGTAGTGTGCCATTTAATATTACACAAGTCAATATATTACAAATATATTTAAATATATGACATTCAAATTTAAATAAAAATGACATTAAATGCAAATAACATGCAGGTACGTGTTCGAAAGCATTACGTTCAGTTAGAACGCAAGTATATTCTTTTGAAGTATATATATAAAAACACTTTTTAAACGTACACTAAAGTGTTGCGTTTATAAGATTTCTCCCACTACTTACGTTACATCTACAGAGCTAGCTTTGGCTAATAACGCAGTCTCAGTAACTTATATCAAATAAAATATTATCCATATGAAACACACTAGAGGTTAACTAGCGTTCTCACATTTTTTCACTTACCTAGGCTTTTGGTGTATCTGTTGACGGGACTTGAGTTCCAGAGTAAATACTGTAACTGGGTGGCTAATGGTTTAGTTAGCAATCCACACTGATGTGCCACAAAAGCTCATAATAATACAATTGAAGACTACTTGACGCGTAAACACATTAGCAGCGAATCACAAGTCACATCGAACTGAGGACACGTTCAAAAAAATTAAATGTTGAACGTTTTTCACCCTAATACGACAGGAGAGAGCAGCTTAGCTTTCTACATCACTAAATACAGCAGAGCTAGTGAACTTCCAAGCCATGTTTCCCAGTTTACATTGGGGGGGGGCAAATCTACAGTAAATGGGCTGACAAATGTTATGTATTCGATCAATGAGGAACTGTAGCGTGTGGCTAGCTTGAATAAACTAGTGTGTTTTTTGTTTATATAGAGGAGGATGTGACATCACTATGGCCAGTGGTTGTGTCTCAAATAGCGATGTACGCAAATAATATTCCATCCTATCCCCATTTTAAAACTGAATTAATATCACTTCTGAAATCTCTTAGTTATATAAATAACAAAAAATCCCAAAGATTTATAAAATATTATGAAGAAATGTTTAAAGAAAATACATGTATTTAAAAGCTTTCCCTGTATATTAATGTTTGTATGTTATTGTTTCAATAGTGGTAATGTATGCAAAAAAAATAGCGATGTACAATTTTCTAAATTAGGTAGTCTAAATTTTTTGCTTTTATGTAATTATAATCCTGACAAAATTCCTTCCAAATTATCTCACTTTCACAAACAATGTCTCTTATCGTGGTCTTTAATTTACAAGCATAATTTTTCCCCACACAGTTATATCATTTGGCACAACAGAGATCTGCTGTACAAGAATAAATCAATTTATTTTGATAATTGGGCTAAAAAATAATATTATTTTGGTGAGTCAGTTATTCAATGACCAAGGGATTCCTTTAAAATATGAGGAGTTTTTGTCACATTATAAAATCCCAATTACAGCAAAAGAATATGCTATTGTTTTTGGAGCTATCCCTTCTGGGATTATTATGTTTATTAAGGGTTTTAATAACAAGGTCTCTCAGACTGTGCCATATCTCAATGTATTTGATACATATGTTGGTAAATTATCCCTTACCACCAAATCAAATAATAGGAGCATTCGTGCTCTGTTCCAGAATGAGGTTGTCTCTTGTCCGAATGCCATCTTTTATTGGAACAGACATGTAGGTGAAATTAACTGGGCTAGAGTGTGGGTTTTGCCTCAAAAATTATTTTTGTACAATAAGATAAAAGAAGTGTCTTATAAAATGATACATCGGTGCTATCCCACAAAATGTTTTTTACAAAGGTTTGTTTCTGAGGATTTTGATGTAAATTGCTCCTTCTGTGGTCTCCAAACTGAAGATTTGTCTCATTTATTTTGGTATTGTGAGTATACTAAGAATCTGTGGAAAAACATTTGGAGTATTTTTTTGTGGTATAATTCCTGAAATTTCATTGAAATATTAAAATGTTATTCTGGGTTATACACATTTTGAAAGAGAACAATCAGATGTTTTCTATTTACTCAATCTTATTTTGTTTCTCGCCAAATATTTTGTACACAAATGTAAATATTGTAAGTGTAAGCCTTTCTTTAACCTTTTTCTGGAAGAGTTCAAACTGTATTTGATTTCTGACTCTTCCAATAAGAAAGCTGTAAAAACTGTGAATCTTTTTAAAAGGTACATTATTTTCTTGCTCCCTGGCATGTATTATATTAATGTCATTCTGTGTTTCATATATTATAATAAAAAAATAAAAATAACAATAAAATAGCGATGTATGAATCTTTAAGAATCAATCTTTTGAGTCGAAGCTTTTCAATTAACTGGTTGAACATTCGTTGACGGATCAGTGTGAATCGGTTCCAGCGAATCGCAGAAGTGTCAAGAGTAAAACGTACTGGAAATATGTTTACAACTTCATTAAAGAGAAAGGAATTTTCTAAATAGCATGTCGTTAAATATGGAAATTAATTTGAATATTGTTTAATATAAATGCTAATTACATTTAGTCTCAACATAACCTTATTTTTATCAGTTGAAACGTGGTTGTAAGAAACTGAACATGGACACGTTACATTTCAATAAATGCCTAGTAACGAAACGTAATTTATCGCGTGTAATACGCCGCGGAATTACTATGAGGAATTACTTGATGCAGTTTTTGCTATCTCTCAATCGGGTCTGAATTAAACTCTTCGAAAGAAACGATTCGCGGAAATGATTCAGACATCCTATCACTACAGGGCTGCGTTCAGCTCCGACAAAACGGTGCAAAACGTTTTTTAAACGGAAACGGTGGTGCGTTGAACACCCTGTTCTGATGACGCAAGAGTTGCAACTATGGCAGCTGAGAAGGCCATTCTTTGTGTTCTTTTTGAAGAATTTTTGGAGCCTGATGAAATCGGTATAAATACGTGTTTAATACTGCAAAATCCGCTATATGTTACAGTCACTGCCCTTGGTGTCCAGAATAAAAGAGAACATCCCAATCAAGTGAAGGGATTTGTGGAAACTGTGGTTCCTAATTATTGTGATCCAACATTTGCCTCGTATTTCAGGATGAAAAGACAAACATTTCAGGTGAAGGATAATCCACTTCTTACCTCCAAGACTGTGTTATGATCTATATGAC